TTTCTCTCCAAGAAGAGACTCTGCCTTCTCCTTCCCTTTCTTCTCCCCTAAAGTGCTAGGGGGTGCGCAGATGATACTCAAGTAAAGACTTCTCTACTGATTGATTACAGTGTCCTAGGACTGCCTGATCCTTTGATGCATCAAGAACCCAACCGCAGACTTGGTATTGGGCAAGAGGGTGAGACTATGAAGGGAGCCCATTAGGCCTGGAAAGAGAGGGAGAGGTAAACAGAGGACTGGATGATGAAAAGTAAACTGGATTTAGAAAACAAACTCAAGCTAATGGCTGCAGATGGTGTTAGATATTCTGTTAAGGAATCTGGGAATACATATGCATACTAATAGGAATTTATTTTGGCTGCTTCTTACTCCAGCTTTTGGGAAGGGAGGAGGGGCAGAGGGTACCAGAGAATTTAAGAACACTAGTCCTTCATCTCCAGAAAGTGCACCCCAGGGCTTGGCCTCAGCCTCAGCTCCTAAGGATGCATTTGCCCAAGTTCTAGAAGGCCTGTGGGTTAAACTGGGGTTAGGTTGGCAGTTGGTCCTGCTTGAAACTGAGTGAACGGGGTGTTAAGAATGGGGTGCTAAGAGAGGCTCCCAACTTCCCATCCCTGGGATAGACTCAATGGAGAGACCCCAAGGCCTTATGAGACTGTCCCACGATCTCTCTTATCCCACCGGCCCGCAGTCACTCTTCAGGCCATGTAAACTGTGGGAAACTCTGAGAAGGCATCTAGGTCGTCTCTAGATTACAGACTGCCCCTCTCCTTTTATGGAGCAGGTTCAACAGTCCCCGCCCTGTGAACCTATAGTCAGCTGGCTCTGTCCCACTGCCAGTTGCTTTTGGGATGATTCTGACTCACAGCAACACTATAGGATGGAGCAGAACTGCCCGATAGGGTTTCCAAGGCTGTGATCTTTATGGAAGCAGACCGGTGGGTTTGAACTGCGAACCTTTTGGTGAGCAGTGAGGCGCTTAAGCACTGTACCGCGAGGGCTCCTTTCTGTCCCACCATCTAACCTGAATCCCTCTCACTGCTTTTTAAGCTGGTCCCCTCTCTTTTTTATGTTCAGTGGTTCTGAGAAGAGAAGCACAAGTTATCCTTTGCACATTAATTATAAAGGTCCAGACAAACTCAACCTTTTCTTCCTCTACCTCCAACATCTCCTGGGACTTCCTCTATCAGATACGGTGATTGCACTTAGCAACTGGGTACTGGGAGCTGACTATGTGCCCAGAGGTGTCCCAGCAGGAATTAGTGCTTATAGTCTAGTCAGAAAGCCAAGAGAAGCAGACAGCAGGGTGAGGCTGGTGACGAGTGTCTGGGAGAGCAGGCGTGGCCTTGGGGGGTGGTGAGTCCTGATTGGGGCAAGGGGAGCTTGAGCTTTCTTTGCATTATTTCCAAGGATGCAGTGCAGCCTTGATGGGCAGCATGAAGCCCGGGGCACACTCGTTCTCTACCATGTGGAGACATGGAAGGGTGTGTGACAACACCCTTAAGCCCCTGCTGGGAGCTCTCTGGGAATCACTCATCTGAACTCTCTGGAAAGTCACTCATCTGTGCTGCACCTCCGCCTTAACTCTAAAACTGAGACAAAAGTGTCTACAAAGAGCCTTAAACGTGCTCGTACCCTTCAGCCCAGGGATTCTACTTCAGGGACTCTAGCCTAAGCAAGAAACAAGAATGTGGGCAAATGCTTAGGCACGAAGATGTTCATCTCAGGGTTATTTGTTGTTGTTGGGTGTCAAGTTAGTTCTGACTCATACAACAGAGTGAAACACTGCCCGGTCCTGCACCATCCTCACAACAGTTGCTATGTTTGAGCCCATTGTTTCAGCCACTGTGTCAATCCACCTTGTTTATGATCTCCTTCTTTTTTGCTGACCCTCTGTTTTGCCAAGCATGATGTCCTTCTCCAGGGACTGGTCCCTCCAATAACATGTCCAAAGTACGTGAGACAAAGTCTTGCCATACTTGCTTCCGCGGAGCATTCTGGCTGTACTTCTTCCAAGATAGATTTGTTCATTTTTCTGGTAGTCCATGGCGTATTTGATATTCTTCACCAACACCAGTGTTATTTAGAAGAGGAAAAATACAAATGTGAATCTGAATGCTTATTAGAATGGCTGTGTACAAGCTTGCTCTCTTTTTGTTCATAATTTTATATGTGTGATTAAGGGTGATTTTTATCATATATTTTATATATGTATACATATACACATATATGTATACACGCTACAGGAGTCCCTTCGTGGCACATATGGTTAAGTGCTTGACTACTAACCAAAAGGTTGAAGGCTCAAACCCACCCAGAGGTACCTCGGAAGAAAGCCCTGGCGATCTACTTCTGAAAGGTCACAGCCATTGAAAACACTATAGAACACAGTTCTGGTCTGACACATATGAGGTTGCCATGAGTCAGAGTCAACTCGACAGCACCTGGTTTGGTTTGGTTTTTATACATACTACAAGTAGTATGTATTAATAGAAAAAAGAGAAGTTCTGATTTTTTTTAATAGGAAACAAAATGGAGCCAAAGGGGATTGTGATCTCTTTCTCTCTGTTTGTGATACAGATGATGAGGTCACGCCTTTAGGAAGCCCTGGCTCACCTCTATGATTAGTAACCAGTAAAAGTAGCTGGGTACCACAGCAACTTCCCTACCTGGCCCTTCTGGGCTTGCTCAAGGAACCAAGAGACCCACCATCATTCACCTCTCCATTATCCAAATACGCATTCTCTTCTGGGGATTTTCCAGGGTAAATGGTGAGACCCGAAGACTGGTTTTCTCTGGCCTTCCAAGATGCATCTGGGTTCCTACCCTGCTCCATCTGCCAAGATTGCTCAGAGGTTCCTAGAGCTGAACAGTCCAACCCCTCTGAGAATGAAGGGACTTGCTACATTGTTTGTTAGTACAAAGCCACGGTGAGCATCCAGGCTTCCTGACTCCCAGCCTAATGCTCAGTTCAGACTGAGGCAAGTGCATTTCGAAAAAATAAAACAGTTGCCTTCAAAATTACACAGTGGACCCCAAGGTGAAATCCAGGTGAATCTAGCTCTACAAGATGAATCCAGCTCTACATGAAATATCTACATTTTCTCCTCTGAGCTGAGAAAACTCTTTGGTAGGGTATTGGGTTCACTTTGGAGCAGGGATTGTGTCATCCATCCTCCAGCATCCATGCGTCACCAGGCCTCTCCCTGACACTGTCCTAATGCTTTATTGGTTTCCAGGAGCAGCTCCATCTCTGCTCTGTTGCCAGCCTGGCCCTATCTCTGCCACTGGATTCTGTGGGGGTGATTGTGGGGTAGGGTAACAATCCAGCCTGCTGCCCTTGGCCTTTGGCTCTAGTTCTTCCTTCCATCCCAAATCCTCCTCCCTGGGAGTCCCCACATATAGGATGCAAAACCATAGGTAAGAGGGGAAGAAAACACATTTTCCATGCAGATCTCCTTCTCCTTCCTTCCTCCTACCCTTCACATCCTCCCCAGTTTCTACTGCCCACCTCCTTTTACTCACCTCCTTTTCCCTCATTCCTCTTTTTCCCATTCCTCTTTCCTTTCACTATCCCTCTCTCCCCCATTTCTGCCTCTCCCCAGGGCCAGTCCACCCTGATACACCTTGAGCTTCATCCTGGCTACATCCTTCTTTCCCTCCAGGCTTTCTAAAATCCCTGCAGGGAAGGACCGGTTTTGTAGGGTCTGCAGCACGCTGATCTGAGCTGGCTGCACATGGGGAGGGTGGCCAGCACATGGGTACAAGGTGCCTGGGCTTCTGTAGATACGCACCCACCTAGGTGCATAGACAGAGGAGGCAGGGCCCCAGGTTACAGATTTATGCAGCTGAGCCAATCCTGGTCTGCAGAGACACATCCACATGCCACATGTGCCTCCCTGTGGGTACTGGGACAGGTGCATGGGATGCGTGAGCCACCAGGAGAGAAAAGATAGATTGAGACATTCTCCCCACCCCTGGATTTACTTCCTGGAATTGATCCCAGGGACAGCTCCAGTGTTCATTTCCTTCGGTGGGAAAGGTACACTTGGCTCGTGGGGAGCCCAGTAAGGCAGAGCCTAGTCCTATCTTCTCCAGGAACTGGTTGCTGATCCCCAGTGGGCAGAGAGGAGCACTAAAGATGAGGCCCTAGCCTGATTCAGGTCTTCTAATTCTAAGCCCATGGTCTACTGCTTCGAGTAGGGACTCAGATACCCACCACGTGCCTTGGATGAGTCCCTTTACTCTTCTGCGCCTCAGTTTCCTGCTATGTCAAATGGAGGTTACTGGGAAGATCAAACAAATGAAGCGTTGTAAAGGTGTTGTGCAAACAGTTAGCGCCACTGCATACCTCACAGATTCCTGTGGTACAATAAGTCTATGTGTGTGCTGGTGTGTGCACAGGGCTCTCATTTTTCACAGGTTCCTCCCTAGAGTGCGGAGATCAGAGCTGGGCCCCAGGGCTGGGTGGGAGAGATCCTCCCTGCCCCGCCCCCAGACCAGGGCCGGCGCTGCCGGATTTTCCTCCGGTAGGCGGCGGGCTGCACGGCGCGCTCCGCACGTGAGGCGGCAGCACCAGCGGCAGCTGCAGCGGCGCAGCCCGGGCTGCCAGGCTCGCCTTGCGTAAGGGCTGCCCGCGCCGCCGGGCCGCCGAGCGAGCCTGGTTTTCCCCGGGCCCACCGTCAGCCCGCCGCCCACCCTGGCCGCAGCCCCAGCCCACTCCAGACCCTTCGTGGGGGTCTCACCGGGCCAGCCCGGTGCTCTCGCGTCCCCGCGCCACCTCTGCCAGGACTACAAAATTCTCGGCTTTCGGCGACGGTGTTGGTCCGCAAGGAAGCGGGTGCGCTGGGCAGCTGGCCTGGCGATGGGCGCGGAGGTCTGACACCGGGTTCCTGCAGCTCCGCTGGCCGCCACTGGGGGCTGCCGCGCCGGCGAGCTCGGCGGGGCCGGTGCGCACGCCGCCGGGTTCTGGGCGCTGCGGGGCCGCTGAGCTGTCTCCATCACGGGCCTCGCGGCTGCCTCAGCAGCCAGCCCAGCTTCCTCCCGGATCTGTGCGTGTGATCGCTGCGTGTGTGTGTGTGTGTGTGTTCGGGGAGCGCGTGTGCGCGCTCGCGTGGGGGCAGTGTGCATGCGGGGAGTGCGGAGGAGTGTTTGTGTGTATGCGTGTGGGTGTGAGTGCCTGGCTCCCTTTCGCTCACACACACACACACACACACACACACACACACACGCACACACTCACAAGCCGGCTGGCTCCTCTGAACTTGAAGACTCCCATATTCCAAGACGCCCGAGGTTCCTAGGAATGCCCAGGGATCTGCCATTTGGAAAATCCAACCGGCTTCTTCCTAGGGAGCGATTCTTTATTTTTAATTTGAAAACGAAGAGAACAAGTTATGCTTTCCCCCCCCCCCTTGGTCTTGCTAAATGCCATGGATATAACTGAATAAGCCGCTCAGGGCTGTCCCCGCGTGGACGTCGGAGGCCACCATCTGCCTGCGTTCGCCGGAGCCGGAGGGTTTAGCTCGAGCCTGTGTCGGGCGGGGAAGGATGCGTGGCCGAGCCAGGGAGCCCGGGCGCCCCGCGGAGCTGGCCTCGGTGCCTCCCAGCCAGGGATAGATGCTGCCTCGCCCAGGTGAGTGTCGGCCGCTTGGTCTCCGCTTTCCGCGTTGTCCACGGGAGCTCGGCGCTGAGCTGCACGCCTTGGAGGGAACGGGGAACTTTGCATACCTTTCTTCTTCACTTGAGGACTCTGCTCACCCGGGCCACGCGTGCGAAAATCCCCCTCACTTATCGCCCGTCCATATTGCAGGAGAAGATTTTCTTTTCTTTCATTCCTTTCCCCCTTCTCTCCCTAATAGTGAGGGGGAAACTCTGGCGGGGAGCAGGGAGAGCAGGTCCGTATGAGCCCGAGAGCAGAAGGGAGACACGGGGAACAGCAGGCAGATGGAACCGCTAAAAGCAGCAGAACTTTGCCGCTGGATCACTCTGTTGCTTCTCACCACAGGCGAGGCCAGGCCAGAGCCATTACTAGGGGCTGGGTGCGCTGGGTGGGGTGGAGTAGAGTTGGGTGCAAAAGGATTGATTCAGAGCTGATGGAGGGAAGAAGGGCATCACTGCAGTTTGAGGAGGCAGGTGGGGCAAGCTCAGGGGACCTTGCCCTGGCTTCAGGTAGAAGGCAAGCGGAGGAGGGGGATTGTGTGTGTGTGTGTGTGTTTGTGTGCAGTTTGGGGCACCAAAATGGCATGATGAAGCAATATGGAAACTGGCTTTAGCCATGCCCGGGTTGGTAGGTCTCTGTCTCCCTCCAGCCTTGCCCGGGTTCTAAGACTGGCCTGGGCAGGGAGGAGGGGGAGCAGAGGACAGCTCGAAAGGAAGCAGGCAGTGCCTTGCCCTGCACAGACCCTTGGCGGGCAGAAGGCATGCTGCCCTTCTTCCCGGCAGCCCAGTATAAAGGACATAGGCAGCAAGTTCCAGGAAGGCAGAGCCCCTGAAAGCCCCAGCCAGGGAAGAAAAGAGGTAGCCTGAGAAGAGACAGCGGAGGGACCTAGCCAGCTAGATGCCAAGTGCACCAGGAGACAGAGACAGCCTCAGACACCTGCAAGGAGAAGGAGCTTGTCAGAGTCCGCACTCTGGGCTGGAGTTACTGACAAGGCTGTAGATGCTGACCCTCTGGCCCACCACAGCAGAGTGTGTGTGTGTGTGTGTGTGTGTGTGTGTGTGTGTGTGTGTGTGTGTGTGTGTGTGGCAGGGAGGTGGCAGCTGTGGTTGGGATACAGAGTGGAAAATTGAGTCTGGCTGATTGGCCTTGTGGGGCTGGGGGAGGGGGCAGCTTCAGGAAATGGACCCCCCATGAGGAGTGGGGAGGAGCAAAACTAGGGGGAATGTGCCATTTTCAGGGCTGGGAAGTTCCCAGGGACCAGCGGGTGAGGTTCTAGGTGGGCTGTTGTACTTAAGTAGGGGCCAGTTTGGAACTCAGGATGGGGATGCCAAGGCAGGATTGTGGGGAGGCTGTAAGCGAAGGAACCACAGCTAAGGTTGTACCCGGGGCTGGTCATCGCCCTCTGCGAGGAGCTTTATGGGGCCACACGCAATGGAGCCCATTGGGCTGTGGGACCTGTTTGTGAGGTGTGTTGGAGTTGGAACGGGGGTCAGAGTCATGCAGGGAGGACTTGGAAGCTCGTGAGGGCCTGCCTCTGCGGACCACAGACCACACCAGCTGCCCTGACCCTTTTGCTGATGCTAGAATGTCGTCTTTCCCCTCTGACTCTGGCTAGGAGTGCAGAGTTCCATCTCTCCCTCCCCAGCTCCTCCCAGGCATCTGCTCAGCCCCCTGCCAAGCCCTCAATTTAGAGTTTCTGGTCTAATTCCTGCCTGGGAATGTCATGACTTATCTTCCTGCCCTCACCCTGGGAAATACAAACGGCGAACTTGGCATTTCCGTTCCAGCTTCTGGTGGTGCCTTTCCAGGAGCAGGTCTGCTACCAGCTCTATCCTCTGTCAGCTGGCCCTGGAGCCCGCTGGAGCTGGGGGTCCATCCCTCCTTCTCCAAAGTGCCCTTTCTTTTCCTGGGCCCAGAAATGGGAGCAGCTGGGGAGTCTGGCGTGAGAGAGGGTGAGCTGGGGACTTCCAGGGGGCAAGACTGAGGAGGATAAGGAGAATGGATGGAATAGGAAATACGAATGGGGTAGGTGGAGCCATGGAGATAACCAGGCACCCTTCTGGACACCAAAACCCTGATTTGGCTAAAGGGGAACAGCCTTTCTTGTTTTGGCTGCAGCTTCAAAGTAAAGATCAAGAACCCAGGGGTTCTGGGCTCTTAGTGTCAGGCTTGCTGAGCCTCTCTAGTCTATAGGGTGGATGGAGTAGGACATGTTCTCCTTTCGGGGACAGGGGGTATTGAGGGTTACAGATCCCTCTGGCCTGGAATCTACCTGCTCAGGGGAGTTGAGAAGTGAAGTTGGCATTAGTATTGTTTTCAGAAAGTCCGTCGTCTGAAGGTGGAGGTGAGCTCAATTATTGGCAACTAAAGAGTTCCCAGTCTGATGGGGGAGGCTTCTAGACTAGAAGCAGAGACTTAGAGCGAAAAACCAACCAGAGGTGGCCAAGTGGAATTAGACCTTGGACAAAAGCAGCAGTTCGGCTGTGTTGTGATTTTTCTTGAGGCAGCATTGACGTTTTAGAGTCAAAGTTATTTGAAGGTGTAGAATTGTGATAAAATGGAATGTAACCTAAATCTGGAGGACCTAGGTTCAAATTCTAGTGCTGCTACATCTTTGTTCATTAACCACTTGAACTTGCATTTTCTCATCTGGTGAAATGAAATAGTAAGACGTACCATGCAGATGTGGTATGACCTGATGTTTGTCCTGGCGGCCCCCAACCTGAAAAGATCTGGGGGAGTGTTTGGTTGGAAGGGGGAGGGTTGGGAGAGAGAGATGGACCCTCAGAGACATGGAGGAGAGTGTCTCCAAGTTCCCCTTGCCCAAGGAGCTGCCAGGAGGGTTGATGCCATCACACGTAAGCTGATCATTACAAGGCTCCAGAAAGCCCTCTAGGAAACTTTGGGAACTGGTACTCAGAGCAGCAAATTTTACCTTTGGGGCTGTGGCATCTGCTTCTCTCTTGTTTGCTTTGGAGATTTATGACCATGCATATTTGCACAACAAGTGGGTATCTATTTTACAAGTATCATCTGTCATCCTTTCCTATGTGAGCCTTGTGTGTGACTATTCCCCAGAACCCAGCCTCCACCTACTCTTCTTTGACTCCACCCCCTACTGCAGCAGGGTGACCTCAAAGGGGTGGTATCAGGCTCAGGCCAAGTGAATGGATACATCTCCTCCTGGGGTCAGCACAGGGCCTGTGATTGGACCTGGGTTCTCTCTGCAGAGTGCGGGGCGGGGGTCACCCAGCCAGGGGAAGCACCCAGTTGAGGAGAGAGCTCAGAACCTGATGCATATTTAGCAGATACTCTAACTAATGTACCCACTGGAACAAGGAAGGAGAGGGAGGTCTAACCATATAGGCAGGCCTATGACAAGGTATTTTCAGGGAGGAGAAAGGTTTGGAGATGGGGATCAGGGAGAGTAGTCATGTCTAGCCTGGTCAGGGTGAAGGCAATCAGGAGGGCTTCTTGGAGGAGGGAGAATTTCAGGAAAAGCAAAAGTCCACAGAAGGCAAGTTTCGTTTTCACTTGAATTCTCAGAGGTCACTGGAGTTTAGGGAGTTTCAGGGGGAGGACACTGAAAATGTAGAACAGATGTTCAAGAAATGTCTTAGGCTCTCAGGACCAGCTCAATTTCAAACAGTTTCTTGGTTGCTTCTTATGTGCCAGGCACAATGTTAAGAACTTCACAGTGTCATCTCATTGAATTTGTACAATCTGGTGAAATTGCCATTGTTATTATCTCCACTTTACAGAGAAGAAAAGAGGTTCAGAGAAATTGGGGACCTACCATGTAGCTAATAAGTGGTGGAGATCTTGCTCAACCTTCATGTCCACCTGAGTTCAAATCCACACTCTTACATCTTTGGTACTGCCTTTTTGCCCCAAGGCGAGGAAGAGTAGGCTCCATGGGACCAGCTCTCTAAGCCCCAGCTGGCCTCCTGGTCTGGCTGGAAAGGCCACCACAGAGCCTCCATCAGAGAACCCTAACAACCCCAGCCTTCTCCATGGCCTCCCTGCCCAGCTCATGCCCACCTGTTTAAAAGCACCCATCAAATGGCCAGCACCCCTCCTCTGGAGCCCGTGCTCCCATTTAGCCCTGTGGACAAGCCTGCAGGTGGGAGCAGTGGAGTGAGCACTGGACTGCGAGTCAGGAGCCGACTCTGCCACGTTGTGACTTGGGTTGGCGTGCAAATTCTTACTACCCTGAGGCCTGGTTTCCTTATTTCTGAGACCAGATGCGAAGAATGCTTACCTCTTACCTCCTAGGGTTGCTGGAAGGGCAGGGCAGCATGTGTGAAGGCACCTTATAAACGGAACAAGCCCTTTAGAAGTCAGGGTTGTACTTGTGCCCCCTTCCTAATTTAGACTAAATCACCAAAATGTCAGATGTGATAATGCCCAGGGATGAGATAACGGTGGGCTTGAGTGTATCAGTTTCACGTAGCACTGCAGCTATCCAATAAGATAACAGGCCAGGCAGGTTGACCCTGTGCCTAGTGGGTAAAGGGATGGTAAAGAACCTATAGGAAGGGGGAGTGTGGACCAGATAATTGGGGGGGCACTGGCGGGCAGCTGAGAAGGGGTACATTTACGGATACATTATTTACTTTTATAATCAGACTGACATCACGGAAGGAAGAAGGCATGGAGGGGAGGGTATTTTCCTTAGACCAGTGCTTCTCAACTTTTTTTTTTCCCGATTGCCCCTCTAAGGAGTTTTTTAAGAGCTTTTTTTCCTAATCGTCTCCTTCCCTCTTCCATGAAATTTTTATACCACAGATATACAGTATATCTGTGTATGTACAATATATGTATGTGCTTTATGCATACAAAAGTACAATTTTTTACCCCCCAAGAACAAATTGGCTGACATCATCCCCAATGAGAATGCATGCCTTAGGATAATAGATGAGGATCAGAAAAAGAGGTGGATTAATGTGGCAGGTGAATCCAGGAGGTGATGA